AGAAATCATGCTCCTGAAAGCTCCATTTTGTTTTCTATGCACAGTCGTTTCGAAGTTTCTGGATTACGTGGTTTTAAGACACTTAGTAGTATTAAAGTATTCAACATCAAAGTATCACAAGACCCAGGGAAGTCACTTTCACAGCACAAAGTAGGAGTTAGTAAAACATTGCATGCATAATTATTAGTAGAGAAGGAAGAAGGATCAAAATCAGAGAGGATAAACAACAACAGAATTAATTCCCCATACAGGCCTTATTCTCAACTGAAGGTTCATGTAATCCCTCAAGTTATTTTTTGATCACTCCCGATTTCAGAAATCCCATGAAAGTCTAGAAATAGCCGAATACTGTTTCACAAATTTTCCTCATTTCGCAGCTCAAGCAGCCATACAGGCTCTGTATTAGTCCATTTTCATCCTTCACTGATTAACATTATTTGCAAAAGAACTGGGCACTATGTCTAAAAATAACTTAAAAGGGTTAACCTTGTCAATAAGGCCTGTAAGGGGATTATCTCTCTTACCCTTCATGCTCTCTTGCCAAATTAAAATAGACTAACTTTTGAGTAAAACGCATGAGCAAACCTCAAGTGCTTACGCTACAAAAATTGAATGTTGCACCCTGGTAATAATTTAATACAATTTACAATGTAATGAATTTTCTTATTTTATACCTGCCAACCTTCCCTGAATCAAATGGGTCAGCTGTTTAAATCCTGGGATTTTCATGACTTTCAAGTACATCCAAAGATTTCTCCAGTCTTAATGATAAATTATGTCCTGAAGATTTCCAATCTTTAAAACTGGCCGAAAATAATGATGAACTCCAGGCAAAAGTTAACATTTTGCATCCAATGTTCTTACTGTTCAAAGAGTTGCTCAAAGAGTAACTGAGTACTTGGTTTACAATATTATTACCTGTGAGATGGCATGAGTTTAAAGATGAAGACTCATGTAACAAATGAGAGTTGGCAGGTATGCAATTCCCAGGAGAATTTTTTTTTGAGTCTACTGAAGGAGCAAGAAAAACTCAATTTGGAAGTAACGTTTTTTTGTACATGTATTTATTAAGTCTAATGATCTAATTTCATATTCATGACCATTCATAAAGAAGTACAATAGAACATGTGATTTAACAGCAGTACAGTTTGAATTGTATGATCACTAAACAGTGATATGATTCATCTTTGTGTAGATAGACTGTATTGTGGATGATATAACTAAGTTGCTCACGTGTGTTACCCATGTTTGTATTACCATCGTAATAATGTATTTCCACTGGTCCTGGTTAGTGGTTTTCAACCAGTGACCACCATAACATACATATACATGGAGTATCTTGTTTATTATTTTCACAAAATTAAATTGATCTGATGCAGTGCTTTGAAACATTGTTGTCACATCTAGCTATCAAATTTACAGAATTCTGTACATCACAGACAATAGATCTGTGGCTGCTTAATACGTGGTATTGCGTATAACGCGGCTATAAACTTCAAGACAGTCTCATTCATGTAGACTAAAATTTATTTTTCTGAAGTCCTCTAGTTTTCTGTATGAATGCACATTTTCTATCTTTTTTAATGAAATTCTTGTTAGCGCAAGACTACATTGTTGAGTTAGTAAGCTCAGGAACAGTAAACTCAAGAGAACTATGATATAGAGAAGTATTTCTGCTCATCTGCATGCTTCTCACTTTGCAAGTGACAGTGCTTGTCAAATATATGATTGTGTAACTTAACAAAGCACAGGGAGCAATTTTTTAAAATCTCCTTAAAATGTTCAAGAAAAATGTGTTGAGCATTCCAACGGGAAATGCACAAAATAAAAGAATATCAGAATAACTGAGTGGAGTTTAATGTCATTGTGTTTTTTATTTATTTTGATTTCAAAATTAACATAAACAATACAAAGTGATTTTTCAATGTCATACTGGCATCGTTTTAAAGTTTTAAAATTGCAATTTGATTGATAGAGGTTATGGGAGGCATGGTGGCCTCCTGGTTTGTGTACTTGCCCCCGGATAGAGCAGCCCAACTCTACAAGGTCTATATGGGGAGGCACTACCCTGAGGTCCAACCCCTTACCTTTTGTATACCATTTTGACAGAAAGGTAGTCCTTTCGTATACCTTTAATTGAAAAAGCTACCCCTTTTACATACATTATAACTGGCTCGAGTTATGAATAACACAACATAGAAACATTCCGTCTTTGCCCCCTCGCGAGGTCTTAATTCAGTACAGGAGGCGTACCTTGAGTGAGTTAATACAGCAAATGAGCAATGGAATTGAAAACGATTGCATTTCTTTCCGATCTGTGAGATCCGAATATTTTTCAAGATGGCGGACAAGTGCTGGGCGTTCTTCGCATGACATTGGCCATAGTACAAGTACCTCCTGAACATGAATTCACTACTGCAACTACACCTCTGGCGCGAGAGGGAGATTGCGTGTAATCTGTGTTATATTTGAGGGATGTGGTCAATTGGGCAGTTAACCCCCAAAAAACTTGTGCACAGGATAATTTATTATGGACAGTAAAGCAGCAAAAAGAGTCGTGCTCGACAAAGCAAAGGAAGACTTCCGGAGCCGGAAACGGCACCCTTCCGGGGGTCTCCCGGGGCAGAAAATGTTCCAGTAGGCGATCACCAGTCAGCGGTTGTCAATAAAAGTGTGATTTTGGCGCGAAAGAGGCGCGAAGAAGTCAAAATGGCGGATACAGAAGGTTCTCAGAACAGTCAGAAATCTTCCCAGTTTAGTCAATCAGATCTCCCTGAACTTCTGAATCAGTACTATAAAAGGTTATTTCCCTACAAATATTTCGTCCAGTGGCTGTCGTATGGAGGAGGTAAGGATATCTATGGATTTATCAGAGATAGATTAAAAATTCGAGATAGATTTAAAAGTCTCATAAGCTTATGTTATGCCGTGTTGATTCCTTAGTACCCAAGACATATTTTGTCCACCGAGAATTCTCTTTCACGCTGAAAGACGATGTTTACTTGCGGTATCAATCGTTTGCGGATCAGCAAGAACTGGAGAAGGAAATATTGAAACGAAACCCGTACAAAATTGACATCGGAGCTGTATTCACGCATAAGGTACCCTCCAGTGTATTCTCTGCATTTTCTTCACTCTGTTATGTTACATCAGTCAGTTTTTAACAAGCTAATGAATAGGGTCAGAAACTCTATAAATGTGATACAAACTGAAACTCAAAACAAACTTTCAAGTTCACCCCTAGTCCAGGGTAAAACAAGACTTCAGTGCAGTCCTCCTATATTCCCCAGCATATCCCTATTTGCCCCCATTAACCTGCGAACAGGCTCTTGTGTTAGTTGTTTGCACCACCCTCTTGTCTGGATTTCACGTCAGTCTTTTGTCCAAGTGAGTTACAAGCCAGCATCGGAGGAGGAGGAGAGCCATTCCATTGTAGATCCATATCCTATATCTCCTTTTGGGGGGCGGAGGAGGGAAGACTCCCATATAAAAAGGACAAGGGTGCTTGTCGTACCTTTTAGGGGTTAAATAGCGGTTTTGGTACCCCTTAGGGTGTTCAGCGTCAAAAGGTGCACAGCGGGAGCTTTTGTGATACCTCTCAGGGTTTTGAGCCAAAACGAATATCACAGGGGTTCTTTTCAAAATTTCCAATGAGCACCTCCGTCCTTTTTCTATATATTCCCCGTCTAATGACAATATTTCTTAACCCATTGACTCCCGTAGCTTTTTGCCAAAAACGCATGTTTTGGACATTTGGGAGATTTTCAGGCTGGATATGGGCCAAATTAACTGCAATCTACTCAAAAGGCATTTGCAACATGACAGCATGCCTTTCTTTCCAGTAGCATCATGTTTTACGACATTTTTGCTCGGGCACGCGCAGAAATCAAAATTTTGAGATATGTCTTTAGGCTTTTCGAATTTTTTTATTTCTTTTTTTTTGCCTTTCCTTTTTCTCCTTTTCTTTTCTTTTTGCTGCAGTGATTGACCCTCTACTAGGCTTGCTTCCAGTTAAAAAATTCTGAGAAAGCATCATCGAGACGGGCAATTTTTACCATGAAGGAGCACGGGTAGTCGCAGGAAATTTTGCTCTGAGTTTCTCACTCAACTTTCTGAGCATTTTTGTGAATATTTCAGGCTCCATTGAGCCAATCACCCTGACCTGGGTATCATTGGAAAGATCTTTTCCTCCTGCAAAAGTTAAGCATAAATGATGCCAAGTTTGGCGAAAGGTGATGACGTCAGAAGTGGAACAAAGGCCAAGGCTCGTCACAGCCGGTTATGGGCAGCATGGGAGTCAATGGGTCAAAGGGGCTACAAAAGTAATATTTTGGGGGGCTTACTCAATCCTCCATAGGAAAAAAGATGGCAGCTGTACATTTTACCACAATACCATGCAAGCCTAATACAGCCCATAAAGTACAAGGAAAGCCAGATTTTTGCAGTATTTGTCCCTGTGCTATCGATATTGTGTATGTTAGGTTTGAAGGTTTTAGAACATTTCTGTAAGTTTTTATGAGTGTTGTTTAAGTTTCCATGCGCTAAGTAATTATGGGTAAATGTACCAGTCACCATTTTTTTCTTACAGCGGATTGGCATCATCATTTTTTGTGGGAGGTACTGTAGCCTTGTGATTAGTGGGTTGGACTCCAGATCAAGGGGTTGGGCTTTGAACCCCGGCCAAGGATAGTGTGGTGTGTTCTCCTGTGATATTTGTTTACTCTCACAGTGCCTCTCTCCACCCAGGTGTATAAATGGGTAGTGGCAAATTTACTGCTGGGGGTAACCCTGTTATGGACTAGCATCCCATCCAGGAAGGAGTTGAAATACAATTAAACCTCTACTAATGGCCACTTTTTTCGGTCCCGGTGGACAGTCCATACATTCACTCTTATTTTAACCTCTCTACAACAACCACCTCTTCACAATGGCAACAGCCACAATAACTTGTCCCAACTGCCAAAATAACCTTTCAAAAATGGCCAGTAATCAACTACTAACAAACAGTCCACACAAAACGCCACTTTTTTATTGTAAAAGGTCACCAAACTTGATCCATACCGCACGTCATTGGTCTCTGTTTCTGTTAAATTTCTGTTTTAGTGATACACTTTGATTTAATAATTATATATGCTAAAATAAGCATTTTTTGAAAAAAAATGTTGCACCCCTGAAAAAAAGTGTCATAGCAGAGCTCTGGCAGCCCAAAGGGCCGCCAAACAGAGCCCCATGCTCATATAGGAAAGAAAAGGAAACCCATGAGTTGATTTTCCCTTGGTTATCATGGCTAGCAGTATTGCTCGTGGGCGTGTACGCACAACAGCGACGACGACGGAGTCGCACAACATGGTGGCCATACTCCAAATAATAGGTTGACAGACATGCTGCCTTGGTTTACCGTGTACTTCTTTGATATTGGACATCCATATTATGATCAATTAACACCTGTCAAAACAAGGCATCCGCTGACCAGTATCATGTGACCATATCGCGGGCTCAAGTTTACAGGTCATCAAGGTCACGTGTTTTTTTTGAAGTTGACCACTCACCAAGTGCTGGTTTTCGATTGGATCACAGGGTCACATCAGGTTAACTTGTTGAAAACAGGGCAGGATTGTTCAGAAGCC